GAGCTTCGTATTTAAACTAGTAATGTCAAGTGGTTGTGACAGACGAGGTAAACGCTGCGTTGCTTTCGGGTGCTGGAACACGAACCTTGACGGTGTTTCGCTTCACGCATTCCCCCTCGACAGACCGTCTTTGAGCAAACTTTGGACGAAGTTTGTTCGGGTGAAGAGAGCTAAATGGCATGGTCGTACGAAGCATTCTGTGCTTTGCTCAGTGCATTTCACAGACGAGTGCTACCCGGCAAAATACAAGTTTATGCGTGCGATGGGACAAGTTCCCGGAAGAAAAACTTTGCACAAAGATGCCGTGCCAACAATTCATACCGGCGTCCTGGCGGAGAGTATTAGTAACAAGACTGATACAAGTCAAGCGTATCCGGCTGTCTCAACACCTAAAAGGCCAAGGATTGCTTTTCTTAAAAGAGAAAATGCTAGGGTAGGTATTTGTATTCGTTCATGTTCGACTATGTGCCGCGCACTGAATTTACCGCGAGTATGTTTACGTTTACACATAACGACTGGCTATGGCGGTAATGCTATTACGTACGTTCAATTGTCTGTTTTTTTCATACATTATTATTTGTAATCATTGTTTGATACAGGTAACTCTGCAGTATTCGGAGGACACCCATGACGAGGACACAAGCCACCAAGTACAGGACACTGATTCTCTTACCGACAGCTCTATTCAGGTACTGAACATTTGCGAGAAACTTGCATGAAAAACATGTATGTATTCTATAAACAGCGTCTTGGTGTGTTTATATTAGTGTGTTTATAAATAAATAAATAAATAAATAAATAAATAAATAAATAAATAAATAAATAAATAAATAAATAAATAAATAAATAAATAAATAAATAAATAAATAAATAAATAAATAAATAAATAAATAAATAAATAAATAAATAAATAATCACTTCCTAAATTTTGTTTCACATTTAAGACTTTAACCAAGGCTAAGACTGTTAGAACATATGGTACTCAAATATCTTACAAGCAGCCTAATAAGAGAAGTGTGCATGTACAAGTAAGGCCCTTTGGATCAAATAAAGGTATGTATTGTATGTGGGGAGGCTAGGAGAATATTTTATGTTGAAAATATTTTTTTCTCGTATCTTGACAATGAATATTTTTTTTTTCTCTTACCCTCAGATTTTTTTTTTAAAAGGTTCTCCATCACACTGCCAGGTTTTCAGATGGGACAATTACATTTGGTATTGTATTTGAACTTGACTGTGTTATTTGCATTACAGTTTGCCAGACAGAGATGTTGCATCCTCCAGAAAGAAGAAGCGTTCAAGTACAATGTGATCTCCTGAAACCAAACCAAACAATACAAGTACAAGAACCACCCCCAGACAATGAACTTGACACAACTTGGTCAAGTTTAGAGTCCAATGCAACAACTGATTCTGATGAGACATATGAACAGTCAGAATGTGAATCACAAGCTTCATGTTCGAGTGCTGATGATTGGTAAGTTTTAATAAAATTATAAAATATAAATGGGAAAATTTGTGAATGAAAGTAGGTAAACATGGTGAGCATTGAGTAGCTTCACATCACACGGTTTATGGTAAAAATAAAATGTGTTATACAATAAATATAGTTTAGTTTATTTCTCTTAATTATAGGTGTATGCAGAAAAATAGATTCTTTGTTGCTGGGGAAGCTCAACTCATGAATCTATTCCACACATGTACCAGATGCTCTTCACCTACATTAGGTGAAATCACACACATATGTGGCACAATGGTAAGAGTGGAGCAGAATTGTGTTTTTTGTGGACTAAGCACAAAATGGAACAGCCAATCCATGATAGGTTCCATTCCAAGTGGAAATCTTAGACTTTCTTGTGGAATTTTGTTAGCTGGGGCATTAGCATCAAAAACTTTACGTGTCCTACAGTTTATGAATATGCCAAGTATTTCAACGGATACTTTCATGAAACATCAAAGGTACTACCTCCAACCAGCAGTAATGGAAGTATGGGGAAACATGCGTGGAAAGTACATTGATGATGCACTTCAAAATGGAAGGTCACTTTGCATAGGTGGAGATGGGAGGTGTGACACCCCTGGCCATAGTGCTAAATTTGGCTCATATTCAGTCATGGACCTTGATAATGGTACTATGATTGACATACAGCTTGTGCAGGTATTTATACATTTTACTTACCAAGTACCTCGTTTTATGTAAACACCAATCTAGTAACAATTTATAATTAAATTGAATCTATTGTTTATATTCAGAGTAACGAGGTGAAAAGTAGCTGCCACATGGAGAAGGAAGGTTTGGCAAGGAGTGTGGCATATTTACAGGGTCAAGGTATTAATATCTACAAAATAGTCACAGACCGTCATGTTCAAATAATTAAATGGGTCAGAGAGAACATGACAGATACTCAACACTGTGTGGATGTGTGGCATGTTGCTAAAGGTAAGCAGTTTTCTCCCCCCACAATCTTTGAGAGCAGCTGTTTTATCATGCTTAAACATTTTTCCATTGTTCTATTGGTATGCAAATGATCCACTGTTATCCGTGGTCTATTGATATCAAAAATTGATGGGTACTAGGGTAGAACAGATTATTTTAGATGAAATTGTTAATCCTTGTAGGATATTTTCAATTTATTTTAGTCAAATACAGCATCAGTGATATTGATAATATTCAATATTCAGAGCAATTTAAGTGCAATTTTATAACATGACCAGCAAATTACCTTGCAACAGTTCAACTATAATCATGACTGAAAACACAGAATACTGATGATAGGATTTATTCCTTAAGGTCTACAGAAAAAAATGCTAGCTCTTTCTAAAGAGAAAGAGTGTGGTATATTACAAGACTGGATCAAAAGTGTCACCAATCATCTTTATTGGACTGCTGCCTCAACACCTGATGGAAATGGTGATTTGATGATGGACAAATGGACATCTGTTGGAAACCACATCCAAAATATTCATGAGGGGCATGGAACTTTCTTTCCCAGATGTGAACATGACGATTTAACAAGACAAGAGAGAAGAAAGCGATGGTTAAAACCAGGTATTTCTCTCTTATTCACATTTTAACACACTTTGACTAGGGTGGTATATGTATGCTGTTATTATAATGCCTAAATATTATATATATATTTCCAGGAACTAAACCCTTAGAGAAATTGATAACGCTCCTCAATTCTCGACAAATGAAGAAAGATATACCTAAGTTGTCAACAATACAACAGACTTCAGAACTGGAAGGATACCATTCTGTAGTGAATCAGTTTGCCCCAAAGATGCATGGGTTCTCATACAATGGAATGATGTGCAGGTAACTGCGTACTTGTATTAATCAACATTGAAAATAAACAAGTAACTTTGCGGTCAAAAGAGCTTTGTTGTAATATACTGTGGGTTGGAAACGTAGGCTGGAGTTATGTTGATAAAGTTTGGCACCATAAAAGAAACTTGTCATTGTATTATTTCACAATGTGTACCCCCCAAAAAACTACCTTCCAACTGGTACAGTTGTCTAATAGCAGCAAAATATATTAACATTGAAATGACGACCTGAAATTCAACATTTTTGAAAAAACATTGGCCCTGGTAGTTCTGGCTAACAAATTAGTAGATTAAATTAGTACAAATATCATAAGTTTTATCACATTAAATTCTACAATCAAACAGAGAACAACATATTGTTTACAAATCAACAGGTTTGGAGACCTGTGTAATACACAAGTTCTCATTACTGTCTTTGACTTTAATTATTTACTGACAGGTCTTATCCCTATGATAGAGCCTTCTAACTTCAAAAGTTAGCAATCACAATTGATGTAGTATGTAACAAGTATTCTAACACTCAGAATTTGTAATTCTATTAAGTCCTTAGTGGTAAAATACAGTATATCATAATGCATGGTTGTTTTATTTATAGGCTTGTCTTGGCAGCAATGCATTATAATGAAAATGGTGGGCGACATGCTGCTGTTACTAAGCAGGGAAATCCTTGCTATAAAATAACTTATCCAAAATTTAAAAAAGGCAGTTACACAGTGCGTCAAGTAAAGACAGAACCTACCTTCAGTAAGTACCGGTATAAAATGTTCTACATGCATGTACACTAGCAGCTTTATATATTTGCATGACTGAAGCTACTTAAAATCACAACCACAGCTCAGTTTTTCAACAAATAAAACAATAACAATAATTAAAAAAATAAAATATTCTTTATTACAGATTATGTACAAAATGTGACAACTAATGTCACTGCAAGAGTGGTAAAATGTACCATGTCACAGGCAAAAGGTGATGTGTTGAACAAAGTACCTCCTGCACTCTGCAGTGAGTTCAAAAGACCGAATAAAGTAGTGGCAGTTTCTGACTTTCAGTCGAGGTTTTTTAATCAACATAATTAAATCCCTGATAAACTCCATTCTGTGAAGGATATGTTTCTCTGATAAGATGAACTGCACATGATGGGAGTGGAACTCTGACATCTTTGCCTAAATATCCCCAGCACCATCGGACAAGTTGCCTGTAGGCAACATACCTGTATTTCTGCAAGGAAAATAAATTGAATGTACAAATTCTGTTACTGCACACAGTTTATTCCAACCTAATAAAATGCCTATACTTCTATTGGACATGAGAGAATACTGTTAGTACACAATTACAAATGTAATGTAGTTGGTATGGCCCTCAACAATATTACTGAGGTTCTGGTTGTACATATTTATGTGTCAACCATTTTCAGTTCACAAAGTTCAGAAATTTCTAGCAAAACATAATTGTAATTGGTCTGACATTCATTAACATTTATGCACATCTACCATAATACATTTTCAGTGTAACAAAAACCATGATATATTTTGTCCTAATAAAATTGTGTTCAGACCAGTATGTGCGACTTTTAATACTTACTCAGAGGATTCTGGAATAGTTCCATGGTACTGTCTATATACATGATAAGCTGTTAGCAATACATACTTGTCCAGACACACTGGCTTAAATCCAGGATGTTCTGTGATGCATGCTGTATTTGGAACTTCATCACAGACAGCTTTCACCTGCATTATTTCATAACAGCATCTACATTCCTCAGCAGAGGGCATGACATGACATCTGTTACACTGACACCTAAATTATATAAACAACATATACTTGAAGCAGGTATCTCAGCAAAAATGAAATTTACTATCTTGTTATTTACCTCCTAAATACAGTATAATTATTTGTGAGAACAAATTATTACCATATCAGAACTATCAAAGGTAAGTTGTCAAAATCTTAAAATTGATTTATTTTGCATATTTTCAAAATCATTTATTCCTGACACTTGAAAATACGGTCTTCACCTTAATATTCATTAGGCATTACCTCTACGATATAGCACCACCCCACCCCAAGTCTCAAATAAAAAAACAAAAACATCACAGCAACTTATTGGGAATAAGTTTTTTAAGCCTCCTCCCAAATGCTAACATTCTGGCCCCTTACAATTTAATTGTATGTGTTGTGGTTGTCATGATCTGTCTTTAATATAATGCTGGATGTCCAATATACAAGATAATTTCAATTTGGCTAATTATTAAATGTCTTGCTTAAATTCGACTTTATAATTTATAATTACATCACAGTTGGGGATAGAGGGACTGTGATTACATGCTTCACAAATATAAGCTCCTATGCATACAATTTAATCATAAATTGTAATTAACTACTAAGGCAATAATATGAAGCTTAAATGGTAGCTGTTGTTTCACCGATCGTATTGTACTGACTTGCAAATATAATGTCAACAGATACAGAAAATGAAATTAAACTTAGTGGGCTATGCATGTCTGAGTTCCGTGATTGAACGTAATCAGAACATTTCGTTCTGGGACTTAAACTACTCCGAAATACAGGTTAATAATTATTCAAAATATGCGGAACTCCGGAAGTTAATGTTATCAAAACCAGCTGATTCGACCACTTACCACTCGGTAGTATTCAGGCGATCGCCCAAAGCATCACCGACATCGTTTTCTTCAGCAGAATCACTGTGACTGTCGTCGTTAAATTCGGGCTCAAATTGGTAGGGCCGTATACCTCCGTCAACCGATGAACCCTCGACATCGAAGTCAGAAGACTCGTAATTCAACTCAAGCTCGCAATCACGGCTTTGCGACGACGCATCACTTGGAGTTGACGAACTTTCAGCACTATGAGTTGGCGACGCCATTATTCCTTAGGGTTATGTTTGGGTCACACTTGTGACGTCACAGATTTGACGCCCATAAATGACGCGGAGTTCCTGACAGACAAATGAGCATCGACGCACCGGTAAAAATGCTAACATTGATCGCCCATAACAAAGCTCATGGTGCGTGAATTTTGATGAAATTGTTGGTATTGTCACCAATTTATTTATTGAAATATAATATCTTTGACGAATTTATCGTTCAGTGTACACTTTAACATTTGCCATATTTAATAGGCATGTTTTCAGGTCAAAACCTCACATTCAGACCCAATTAATTAATTAAATCACTTTTTATAATCTGATACCACTGTACCGAGAATACTTCAGGGATGTATATAGCTTTTCAGCTTCCTGATAATAACCATGGTAACATTTTTAACTTTATTCTGTATTTGGTGTTTTGTTTTTTTTATGATATGTTGAACACATCAATTCACAGGCATATAGAAGATAATATTTTGGTAATTGTAATCGTAAGTAACTATTAAAATAGCTAGAAGTTTCGAACAATGGTTTTTTATCGATAGATAGCATTTATCAGTCCAAGCAGCATTT